TAGGAAGTAAGCTCAACAGATAGAGTTTTGAAACCTGCGATGATTACTCAAAGTAATCTAGAGTGAATAGTTAACATCTGTTCTCGGTCATCAAAGTTTGATGACTTCCACCTTCTTCTGCTTCTTGGTTAAATAAGCGTATTCCTCCGTGGGCAAGGAAACGGCTCCTTCAGAATTCACAGGACTCTATTTCATGTATACATTTATCTCTTTTCACTTCGCTATTTCACTTCGCTTTCTGTTGTGTCTTTATCCGTTAATTGCTTATTCATTCTCGTCTCCACCCTCATGATTGCTCTAACTTGCATTTGCTTTTATCTCACCTGCGCATTGTGCGTGTGGTCACACAGTGCTTGCCCTGTCTACGCGTAATCCCTGCCACTTTGTCTCGCTATCTCCGTCAAACGACCAGCCTCACCAGCACTTGCGCTGCCGCCGCGGCGTCTTCCGTCTCAGTCGCTGACGACGCCAGCGAGACGAAAGAACGAAGTAGCTATCTTCGTGAAATCTCAAGTTTTGAGTTCGGCAGTGCCTCCCTCTCGAAGTCGTCGGCTTCCAGCATTTCCTCTTGCACACCTCCACAGTCCAATGTTGCCTCACTTCAACTGTCCACCTTCTCCTCGCAGTCGTCATCTCCTTTAACGGCAACGGCCCCACCTCCAGTTAAAACGGATGCTATCTTTACTGTCCCGGCCGTCAAGGAGCGGCCAGCCGGGCCTCGACGGGGGGAAGCCACTTTGGGATCTGGACTCATCTCAGGCCATACAGTCACGTCTACCTCCACCACGACATCCACTGCTTCCACCAATAACCTCGGCCTCCTCTTCAATCAACCCGAGCTCCAACTGGTCTACAGTTTGGCCACTTTGCAGCGCTTTATGATGTCTCCTTTCGTGGATCAACTAAACTCTCCGTTGGACAGGGAGGTGAGCCCCTCTGTTCTAATTGTCTACCTACCTATTTTAGCCTCAATCTATGAACATTTTCGATTGACGTGGGTTTCGAGACTATCAGTAAACCATCAATAAAAGTTCTGCTTAACCTTAGGTCGCATAAGCTAATTCAAGGACTAATAGCTGAGTTTTTCTACAGTAGATTGCGTAGGCCCTGTTCCCAAAGAGGTATTCCCATACCAGCTGAAGTGAACTGCAATTTCTAAGCCGCCTGATTCTCATTTTCACTTCCAGCAGGACTCGACTCCGGGTTGCAGTCGTGCTGCGTATAGTCTCGACACAGCAACCACTACGCCACATTGCCACAAATGCCCTTGAGTCACAGTGTAGATGTGAATTTCAATAAAGTATAAGCCTTCCCCACATCGCACATTTGTAGTGGGATTCTCGATGAAGTAGTTTTAGTTGCCATTACAGCCGACTATGTTATTTGCACTCAGATATTATCAGTAGTCAGTAGTCGGCAAGAATACGTGAAATTAACGGGGAACACGAGGCCTACTGATATGATTGTGGGTAAATGCAAATATGACTCGTTCGTTATGACAGTTCAGCGTATAATCTCGACACCTCATCCACTATGCCACATTTCCACGGGATCCCTTAGATCACAGCTCCAGGAATTTTGTTTTGAGATTGTCGATGAAGCAAAGATATATTTGCAATTGCAATGGACTAGATGGCCTATTTTTCATTTGCAAGTAGAGTTTCCAGACCATCAATAGACCTCATCACCTTAGGGTGAATACATTTACTGTATATGATTTACTGGTAGTCTCGAAACCCTACTCCTAAATTAAAAAACATGTAATGTATAGAAGTTGTTTGACCTTGTTTTCGCAACTTAGTCATGTTGGTAGGAAGACTTAGAGGAACACACTTAGTCCGGAGTCCATTGTCGGCATGATCATTTCCAAAGTTGAACCGTGGACGTGGTACATTCCTAAACATTTCGCCGGCTTCGTCAGTTAGTATTGCCCTTCTTAGCACCACACAACAACTCGTCAAAGAGACACGTGAAGCCGATCCTTTGACCAAACGTGTGCTAAACAGTTGTGTTATCTCTTCTTCTGCCATGGGCTATTCACCTCTCCTATATCCTCGTACCACGATTTCACTATCACAATTTCTTATTGAAATCTGGTATGGTGTGTTCTTTTGAGCGGCTTTCATGAGGGCCCTCCACGCCTCACTCCCCTTCATCCTTGTGCTGGGAATGCTGATCAGAGTCTGCCATATTGTTACACCGTCCTTCTTCTCTAGGTCTTATCACTAATTCGAGGCTAAAGCCTCTGAGTCATTCTCATCGTCAAGCCATTGCTTCATGGGCCACGTATATGGCCTATTGTCAGCCAACTAGCTCCAGTCTCCGCCACGTCTATCCTGTTTCTATCCATAATACCAAGTCTATGACTTCCTGTGCCCTAGTTTCCTGTGTGCCAACCCACAAACGCTGTGATACTGTTTGCTCTGATTAGGTTCAATGTTTAACCACAGAAACTGGATGGACTTGGCGGCGATTAGAGCTATTTGACTGACAGTAGGCCTGATTTAAATAAGCAAGTAAAAAATTGTGATAGTAAAAGTGTGATACGAGGATATAGGAGAGGTGAATAGCCCAGGACAGAGGGAGAGATACGACAACAGTTTAGCACACATTTGGTCAAAGGATCAGCTTCACTTGTCTCTTTGACAAGTTGTAGTGTGGTGCCAAGTGGCAAGAATCACTGACGGTGCCGGCGAGACGTCTGTAAATGTACCACATCCACGGTCCGACTTTGGAAATGATCATATACACAATGGACTCCGGACTAGTTGCGTTCCTCTCGGTCTTCCTGCCAATATGACCAAGTTGGAAAAACAAGGTCAAGCAACTTCTATGCAACGGAAGCAGACTGCGACCAAATAAAAGGCCACGCCATCTTCGTCTTTATATTTTCGAATAAATAATGTAGTTGATTGCTACAGCAAATATAACTTTGCTTTATCGAGAATCCCACTGAAGAATGTGATATGGGAAAATGCCTGGCCAACTTTGAAATTCACAACTCTGTGGCCTAAGTGTGCTCGTAGCAGTGTAGCTTTGTGGTTACCATGTAGAGCTTATACCCTACACAGTCATGATTAGAGTCTCGCAAGTGTTTCGGATGAGACAGACCTAGACGAGGTGAAAACTGCAGTCCAGCCTGAATAACACTAGCTTTTGGAAAGCAAGGCTGTGTGATATAAAATGGATATGTGAGATCTACCCATCTGATTGTGGAAAAATTCAACCACCAGTGACGAATTGTTATTCTATAAATCTGCCTTTATGCTGGGATAATGTAAAATGTTCGAATGTTGCGTTCATAAAAGCAAATGAAGGCATCTTTAGAGGGTGCACGATGTCATACTCTACTCTGAAGCTGGACAGTTTGGTCCCGTTAAATAGAACGGCAATACTGCTAGACCACCTGAGGAGCAATACCAGAAGAGCTTCAGGAGGGAGGCTCTATCATTTGCATCAACGTTATCGCCCTCACCGGCCATACAATTGACTGGAATACAACGAAAAGATTGGCGTCATGTAGGGAAAACACCAGGAAACGGAAGCTCAGGGAGGCTGTGGGCATCCTCTTTTAAAGAAACCTGATTAGCAGGAGATTAGAACAGGAAAGAGTCAGTGATAGTTTCGCGTACTGCCTGGGCAGACTGGTAAATTTAGTGAAGACATCAAAAAGAAGACGCTTAGATCCAGGACAACCGTTTAACGACGGGAAGAGACGTCTCCAAGGCGCGGCTCATGAGGGACAAATGGAAATCAAGAAAATGAGTCAAACCTGGAATCAACCTGAAAATTTATCGGAATCGGTCCGTTTGTGTGATGTGGGCCAGGTGATGTGTGTATAGGTGGGCCAGATATAAATGACCAGCGTGTGTGCGTGTGTGCGTGT